TTAGATGCCATCCTCAATAAATTGATGTCAGCTGGATCCTATTGTCTCATATTTGCGGTGCGCTTGGCATCTAGAAACCGTACTAGGTGATCATTCATCTTGCAATAGGAATACCTAGAGCGATTTATAGAGCTCTGTGAACGCTCTACGACCTATTCCTTGAATGCATGCATGGAAACTCGTAAGGACGAAGCCTTTCTCAGTTAAACTGATCTGACACTCGGAATATTTACCGTAGAGATGAACGAGCTGTTTATCTGGTTCGCCGAGCTCACGAAGTCAAGTGATCAGGTCACACAGCCACACAACACTATTTCATTCATGCTGTCGGCGAGCCTCTGGACAGAAAGGGTGGAGAATTGGTGGCATCTGCGCCCATGTGTTATCCGCGAGGTTTGATGAATCTGATATAGTCCATTGGGGATGACACTGATACCCTTACGCAAAGTGCGAAAGTGACAACCCGGACGCTGACACTCCTCTCCTATGGAACGAACAAAAATGTGCTGATATCTTGAGCGGAGTGCTGCAGACACCGGGTGCCATGGAAGAAGTACTGGCTTTGGACGGAACACAGGAGATCTCAGCTTGCACAGCCGTCATCGATGTAGTGAGTGCCCTACACATTTTATGAAAGTACCACAAGTAATCCCGTCGCAGGTACTCAACTGGACTGGCCTTCAAGACTCGGATATGCGACGGAATTGCCTCGAGATACTCAGGAAGCTGTGTGGGAAAGGACACGTCGTACCCCGTTCATTCATTCTCCAATCGGGGATGCTCAAGAAGCAGGGAACAAGACCTCTAGGAGGAGGCGGATTTGCGGATGTGTGGAAGGGAGAATATAATGGTCAAGTTGTGGCTTTAAAGTTTTTCGCGATCGTATTCTCGCATCGCAGGAGTCGGAACAGACCGATGTCCAAACGCGGGTAAGACTCCCGATACTTGTCTCAGAGCGATCACCATTGATTACATGCCGCGCTTCAGCTATTTTATCAGGAGGCCATAATATGGAAATACCTACAACATCCGAATATCACACCGTTCCTCGGGGTTGACGCCACATCGTCCCACCTGATACTGGTCTGTGCATACATGAGCGAAGGGACCCTCACAAGATATTTGGAACGTAACCCAGAGGCGAACAGGCTTAAACTGGTAAGTTGTACGGGGTGTGTGCGTAGCACAAATGTTGTCTCATCAAGCACGCCATTAGATTCTGAAGATAACAGAAGCACTAGTGTATCTGCATGGCTTAGACATCGCACATGGCGACTTGAAAGGCGTAAGTCGTATTCGGCGAGTACATTTAGCAGTGCAATTTACAAGATTCCTGATACAGTCAAATATTCTCATCAATGAAGTGGGCAGTGCATGCCTAGCTGACTTCGGACTGGCAAAATTGAGCTATCAGAGCATGCTTCATACGATTTCTATCAAGCAGAGGTCACTACGATGGACTGCCCCGGAACTCCTTGATCCAGAACAATTCGGTGTCACACGCACTTTACCGACATTGAACAGCGATATCTTTATGTTTGCGTTCGTGATATGGGAGGTATGTCACGTAGTGAACAATTGCGAGTCGGATGGATGTTGACTCATATTGCAGATTTTCACTGGCCTGGTCCCGTACCATAAGCAAGTCAACGACGGTGCCGTGATATTCGCCATCATGAACGACAAGCGTCCCGATCGACCTCTCCGTGCGACTGCACTCGGATTGGATAACGATGTGTGGGAGGTGACAGAGCAATGTTGGCAGAAAGATAGAGGGCAACGACCTCGCATCTCCGAGGTCAGACCGCGCTTGAAGGCTGCCTTCGAACGTTTTAATTCGGTTGGCGAGACACAGACCCCCGACACTTGGCCGCTTCAGGTGGACTAGCCGATGGGCAGGGAAGAAACTACTTGGGCACATGGAAAGGGCCGTGATGTTGTGGCAATATGTACGCGAACGAGTCTTGATGTACAGTATAACCCTGCTACGATCTGTAACTCTCGGGAAAATGTCGCGAAAGTTCGTGTCAGGCTGTACTTATCGAGTGGGACTGGGATATGATAGCTTCATGTGATACAAATGCCAGCCGGAAGGACGACGCACTGGACGAGCCCTAAACGCATTGAAAACAAATACTAGGAAAAATCACAGAAGATTCAGGTTGAGCAACGCCGGACCCAGTATAACACGTCAAAGCTCCCCGGGCAAGGTCTTAACTATTCAAAACATTCTCGAACACCGGCCATGAACAACCCATCAGCTGGAAGCTTTTAAAAAGCATATCAACCAACAGATCGCTACATACTCACTAAGACTTGTACTACGTGCATTTAGTCTGGTATACGTTACAGCGTCTCCCAAGCGTTTTTGTCCACCCTACATCGTGACCTGAGTCTGGTAACTCATGTTCATGATGTCCATGAGCCCGTCACCTGGACCTCGTCGATCTCTTCTTCAGACAAATGTTCGGCTTCCCATCTTGCCTTGCCTCGCACCCATATCGCCTCACATTCAGAACACCGTAATCAGCGCGCCCATCAGCACGCCCACCGCCGTCGCACCGAGCGCCACCATCTGGGCCTTGCCTGGGCCCGCAAAGCGTCCCACCGCAGCACTATTGCTGCCCGACGCGCTAGCACCCGAGCCGGAGACGCCCGAACTCAGCGAGGCCGTCGCAGAGAAGCCAATGGGCTGCGACTCCGTGGTGCTCTGCGCCGCGGCCGAGGTCGCCGAGGCGAGTCTGTTCGAAGGTTTGTCAGCACATAGTGCGCAAGAGGGTCGCGCGGAAGCGCCACTAAGGAGAGGAGACTTACGCGGAGCTCGCCGCGCCGCTGTTGAAGCCGGTGTTGATGAGCACGCGGTCGATGACGTGGAGGACGCCGTTGGAGAGGAGGACGTCCGGCTGCGTGATGAGCGCGGTCGTGTTGCCCGACGTGACGTATTGCCCGGTCGCGTTGATGGAGAACGTGAGAGGCTCGCCGCCCGCCGAGGTGAAGTTCTGGCCGACGAGCTGCGGCGAGTACACCGTCGTGTCGTTGATGAGCTGCAGAGCGGCTCGAGTTAGTGATGCGCGCTAAGAAACGAGGCTAGAACACGCACGTGGTTGTAGAAGAGGTTGTTGAGCGCGGTCGTGTTGCTCGCGAGCGCGGTGAGGTTGCTCTGTGAGGCGAAGATCGCCGAGTCATTCGGCGCGAAGAACGTGAAACCGTGCAGCCCGCTGTTCAGCAGGTTGAACGCGGAGATGCTGCCGGACGAGTTTGACGTGCTGTTGAAGAAGGGGACATTGACCGTGCCGAGGAACGTGTTGAGCTGCGTCAGCGACGTCGTCGCGTTCTCGGTCGGCACGGTCTGTTGGAGCGACTCGGGCGGGATCAGAACGTGGTCGACGATATTGATCGTGATGTTCCCGAATGACGTCGTGTTCACGACTGTCGAGTCGTTCCTACGCATCTGGTGAGCGACGTGGTGTGAATGGCGATACTGCCGCGAGCGACACACCTCTGGTTCAGGACGTGAATGTGCCCATCCGCGCGGATCGCCCATGCGACGACCTGGGCCTTGTTGCCCTCGAGCTGGACGACCTCCGAGTCGTTCAGGAACGTGCGTCCGAGGGTGACGTTCGGGTACGTCGTGGCAGAGTTGCTGAAGTTGCCGCTGACAATGTGGTACGCGAGGACGTCAGTCAGTCTTCCAGAATCCGAGGTGACATTCGACGGGGCGGACGCAACTGGTCGACGTCATAAGTGCGTCCTCGCAGCAATAATCAGTGGTATGACTCACAAGCTTCGTTGGAGGGCGCGAAGAGGACAAATGGAGAGCCGCTAGAGAGGTCGCCGAGGATACCCTGGCCGACGCCGCTCGAGTTGAATGTAGACGTCGCCGAGATGAGCGACGTGAGGTTCGCGCTCTGGAGGGTCGTCAGCAGGCCGGTCAGGAAGGTGAGGTTCTGTGACTGGGCCCAGGCAGAGGGCGCAGCGACAAGGAGAGCCGCAGAGAGGAACGCAGACTTCATCGTCTACAAAGGCAAAGGTGGGATGTCGGGCGGGGGGTATTGGGCGGGCGAAGAGGCTCAGAGAGCGATGGCATGGCAGGGCAGGTTTATATAGACGAAGCATGATGCAACAGACAGGCCGGCTGGAGCGAGGGTGATGAGGACGAGAAGGCTCCAAGGGTGTGCGTGAAGAGAAGGAAGTATGACGAGCTTGTATAACCACCATCGAGCATTTTGGAAATGAGCTGCCATGGGAGGATGATCACGCCGGTCTGCATGTATACACCCTCCGAGCCACCTGCCTCGCGCCTTGACGTCAATCTCGCGCGGATGTCACTTTCCCGCAGTTCATGCCCTTTCTCTTGCTCTTCCACTGCCACCTTGGCGCTCCCTGTAGTACCCACACATCATGTTGAGCTGAGTAGAAATACCCCCAAAGCGGGCCACGGATCTGCCAAGGAGACATAGCTGCCTCGAGGAGATCCACTCAGGTACAGTTGTGGTCATGGACTCATAGTGTTGGTCTGGTGCTGCATCCACGTCATGCACGTGCTGTGTGGTGCGTCTCGCTCCCGCGACTCGGATCTGTGGAACAAGACTGGAGCCGTCTGCCGTCCGCCGTCGACAATGACTTAGCGTTGAGGCCACCACCTGCAAAGCCGAGCTTACCAGAATGTTATCATTTGTTCAGCCGGAGGGCGTGTTCATCCAGTAGATGCACAAGAATGACTTGCAGAGGTTGGAGCCAATCGGTTCCTTCAATGATGTGTGATGGACTGATGACGCCCGGTGGTCAATGCGTGTGAACTATCTGAACTGTGCAGCTTAGCCCTCGCATTCTGAAACATAGCAGGTGACCACTGTAAACCAGGGCAAAGGCCGAACACAATGTCCTCCAGACGATTACCGGTTTTCGGGTCCGGGGTCAAGCACATCCCTGGTTTCTTCAGTTTTGCGCCCTTGAGCATGGCGCGTATACCTATACATTGCTTTATAAATTTGTCAGCATCCCGTTTAGCTCAGTTGGTAGAGCGCGTCACTAGTACCTCACGGGTTTAGCTATGACGAGGTCAGTCGTTCAAGTCGGCTAATGGGAATTAGTGTTCCATATTGTTTTGCATTTTAGCGTGGAGCCGCCGAAAGTCGAGTAGCCACAAACTTGTTTCCGGTGCCCTGGAGGAGAACGTAGAGCAAGCAACACAGCTTCAGGTAGAATGCTCTGTAGATCTCAAGGTCGTTGCACGTTGATTGGACAAACCAGCTTGTAAGCGCATTGATGGCCACATTATGTGCACATCTTTTAAGCGAGCTTACAGGTATAGAATCACTAACCTGACGACAAACAGTTCTCCGCCATGAGGACGAAGGCTGCCGAGAATCGCGTATCGAAAGCTTATTCCTCGCACACTGCTGAGGTACTATTGAGCGACTTACGCCATGTCAGGAGAATATACCTTGAAACTTAGTAGCAATGAGCGGGTGGAAAGGGAGCAGCACGAGGCAGATTTGATGCGGAGGTTCTATAATATATAGAAACGCGTTTCGAAATGATAAGTGCATACAGTGAGCTTTGGGAAGGAATACAAGACCATCGATCGACAGGCGATAATGGAAGAAACATTCCAGAGAATTTGATCAAGCAAGCATTCTTCCATATCCGTCCGGAAGTCTGCACCACATCCCAGCCGGTCAATCAAGGACCTGTCGGCACAGTATCCCAGGCTGCATCAGGATGAGGATTCACAACCCTATAGCTCATATCCCGCGCGTGATGCGCCATATGCTCCTCCATTTCCTTCGCGTCGTCGGTCGAAAAATCGCAGTACAAGTAGTGATATCTGCCGGGTCTCGGTGGAGAGCTGCAGAGCATATGGCTCTGCGTCCAACTGGAGCGCCACAGAGAGTGGAAGAGTCCGTCAACTGCGAATGGGGATGGAGAGGACCGAAGGACACGCACTGCTTTTTTTGCTCGTGGTACATAAAATGATCTTTGCAATAAGCAATAAAATTGCAGCCGGGGAACCGGCATCGTCGGGGGGTGTCCTGATGGCTGCTATGAGCTGCACAAGACGCATCAAGGAGAGGAGGCGCGTACATAGACAACAGGTTTAGGCATAATGAACGGAGTGATGGGCCCTATGGGGATTGAGTGGGCGGAACACAGAATCTGAGTAGCAGGGACAGAAACATGCGCCGTTTTATACTCGTTGGCGTATACATCGGTCAAACCTATGCGAATGTTAAGAGAAATAAGCCGTACGCTAGGGCAACGCCACTCCGTACGCCAGGGATCAACGTGGCTGCAAAGTATCCGGCAAAAGTCCGGGACCATCTCAGGGAACATCCCAAGCTGCAACGTAACAAACGAGATACCAAGTTTGGGTTTGAATGAAGGGCTGTGTCGCTAGTGTGCTGCTAGGTATAGCGCGGACAATTCAAGGGGTCCGGAGTGGCGAGGGAAGCAAGCCCTGCGGGCCAATACGGTCGTCGGGCCTTATACAGCCATGCGGACATCGCATATCGTTGATTGGCCCGCACATACCAGCTGCTGCCACCATGGATGCAAAGACTAGACATGCTCAACATTGATTGGGTCGCGAAGGAACTTACTACATGAGGTTCCGTATCCGCCACACGAACAACACGAAAAAATGCGTGCATGACGCTCGTCCACAGCTTCCGGCCAACGAGAATGAAAACATAATGCTGCCGGAACGGGACAAGTGCGAGCGAAGCCTCCGTGCGATTGGGCTATAGAAGAGTGGGGGTAGAATAATTTACTCGCCTACTAGGAGACCAGTGCCAACGCAATTTTGTCGCCGACCCGGCTTCCCGACCGCCCGACTATGCCGCAAGCGCGCGGACCTTCGTCCGGACCTCCCTCGTGCGCTCGGACCCGCGACCCTTCGACTTCCCGAACACGACCACTGTCCCCTCACCGCCCGCGCGGCCCGTACGTCCAGCGCGGTGCAGGAAGTCGACCATGTTCCGCGGCTCGTCCATGATGAAGACGTGTTTGATGTCGGGCGAAAAGTCCAGCCCGCGCGAGAGGAGCGACGTCGTGATCAGCACATGTGGCTCTTCCTGCGCCGGGATCGCAACGTCGGCGGGGAGCGCGTCCACCACAAGTGCGTCGTCCAGGTCCGGCTCCTCCTCTGCGGGACTCTGTGCGGCTGCCTTGCTATCCTTGGTCTCTGCCACGGGAGCAGCATCGCCCTCGGTCCCACGGAGGAATCCCGCGAGGTGGGTGTTCGAGCCGCGCTTGCGCATCTCGCCGCCGCTCACGAGCGCGACGTTCGGGATGCCCTTCTCGGTGAGGTACTCCCCCAGGTCGACCACCTTGCTGCTCTTGTTGCAGAAGATGAGCACCTTCGAGCGCTTCCCGTCGCGCTTCGCGACGTCCGCGTACCACAGGCGGCGCAGCCGCTGCTCGACGTCCGCGTTGCGGTTCACGCCCGTCCACGCCGCGTACTGTGTCTTGATCCCCGCTGGCAGGTGGTGCAGGTTCGGCGACGCGAGGCGTGTCATTGACGGGTGGAACGTGTCCAGGTACGCGGCGAGCGAAGACGGAATCGTCGCGGTCGTCAGGAGTAGGTGGAAGGGGTAGTCCGTCTCCGTCGGCGTCTGCGAGGTGAGATCGACCTGGGGTTCGAACGGCACGGGGCGTCCGCGAGCCGCGCTGACTTCAGCCAGGAGGAGCCGGGTGTACGCCTGGAAGTCGGGATCTACTCAGGCAGTCAGCACCCGGCCACAGCGCACGGAGTGTCGAACTTACCGAAAAGGACATCAGCCTCATCAATGACAACCCACTCCACATCCTGCAGGCCGATCTCAGGCCTAGCGGCCTTGAACAAAGGCTGGAGCGCCAACCCCTCCCGCCGCCTCTGCACTGCCGAGCCCGTAGCCTCCGGACTGCGGTCCCAGCCACGGCCCTTCACCATCTCCAGGATTTTCGACGGCGTACCCACGAGAACGTCCATTGCGCGCGGCCCGTTGGCCATGCGTGTCACCTCCACCTCTGCACTGTTCTCTTCACCCTCCGCCTCCGTGAATCCGCGCGCCATTTGAGACGCAGTGACATCCTGCCGCTGGTTCGCACGCGACGCACACACCACGCGCAGCTTGATTTTGTGGATCAGAGCCTTTGCAAACGCGGAGAGCTGCCGCGAGAGCTCGTGCGTTGGGGCAAGGACCAGCGCGCGGGGATTGTTCGGCTTGCGTTGTCGCGCGAACTCTTCCGCTGCATCGGGACCACCGCTGGTCTCCGCGACCTTGAGGTCTTGCAACACCGGAAGCATGTACGCGATGGACTTGCCCGAGCCCGTTTCCGAAGCGAGCAGGTACTGATGATACTCGTGCTCCTTTTCCTCGGGTGTATCCAGTGATCCGGAAGTTTGCGAGTTATCCTTGAAGAGATGCTTCAAGGACAGCGCTTGGATAGGAGTCGGTGTGGCGTCTGGCCCTAGGACGTCGTGGACAGACGTGAGCAGGTCGGGCATCAGGGGTGGGGTTGTGAACTGGGCGGGCAAAGAACGCATAGGAACTGATTCCGAAGAGAGGTCAAACTCTTCGATCAGCGGGGCTTTTGCTTCGTCACGGGTTGTGTCTGGTCGCCGAAAGCCAGATCCCTCGCGGGGTTCATCCGTTCGTCGAAATCCAGATCCCTCGCGGGGTGCATCTGCCCGCCGAAAGCCAGATCCCTCGGGGGGTGTATCCGTTCGCCGAAAGCCAGATCCCTCGCGGGTTGTATCCGAACGTTGAAAGCCAGATTCCTCGCGTCCGCGATTTGCGGGACGGCTGCCTCGATCGTCGCATCCGCGCTCGCCTCTACGCTCGTCTCTGCCGCGTCCCCTGTACCCAGGTGCATCGCCTCGCCCATTTGCGACGCCGTTACCCCTGCCAGCGGAGGATTTGTTGTATCGCTCAGCAGCCAAGTACCGAGTCATTTTTTCTTCCTCTCTCTGCCTCCTCGTCCTCCTACGTTCCAAGTTTTTAGCTTCGAGCTCCTCCCACACCTTCCTCTTATCTCTTGCCTCAGGATGTGGCGCAGCCTCACGCGGCGGCATCGGCGGCGCGCGCGAGGGCGCGACGATGAGCTTGGGCATGCGTTTCGGCTTCACATTGTTGCCTTTGCGAATTCCGAAGCCGCCAGTATCGCGAGACGCGCCGAGGTCCTTAACGAGACGAGTGCGTGAGGGGCCAGGTGGCGTTGCTTCGGCATTGCGATCCTTCGCTGCCTTTTTCGCCTCCCGCTGCTCTTTGAATCGTTCAGCTGGAGACTTTTTGGGTCGTGGGTCGCCACCAAGACATGGGGCGGATGTGTGTAGACATGCCAATACGCTCTCTGGAGGGACCTGAAGGGCAGGGCGAACCACTAGGCGCGACGATGCAAGCAGGGACATTCGGATGGCCAGCGTTGGTATACCCGTCTGAGTCCGGCTGGATTCTATCAACCAAGCTGATTAGACGGCCGAGTGAAGGGATTCCAGCACCCAGGCCTATCCAACGTGCAGAATCAGAATCGCCGTAGCGGTGGACAAATTACGAGAATGTCGCTGAGGTCGTGCGAGGACCAGAAAAGCGCGATTAGCTTTCTACAAAAATGACTACTTATGTAATACGGGCGCTCTTCAAATACACCGTCACCCTCAAGTATTGGGTGCCATCCGAGGGCATTAGCTACGAAGTGGATTCATGCTGACATGTAAATCACCCACTTGGTTGGAGATGACGGGGGTGGCAGAACATAAAAAAAATGTTTTGTAGCCCGTCGTAACCAGTTCAGGACATACCAATGCGGCGGGCCGCCAAGTCACGAGGTTCCCACAGTTTGAGCAGGCGTACTAAAGATATAGGTGAAGTGAAATAAACACCTCGAGGGTCAGAGGTGTGAGAACCTACCAGTGGGCTACTACGTGACCACAACAATACTCTAGTACTACCTGAAAGCGACACCGACACTGCTTTGAGAGCTGAGAACGTAATCCTGAAGTCCTTCCATATGCTACCCGATCAGTATACGTGCCAACTTTGAGCGCTCGAAAACACAGCCGCCGCACATCAGCAAAACATCAACATCACTTATCATCACTTTCCA